GTCCCTGTGGGCAACTAGACAGACCCCATCGACAAAATCTGAGGCAGCATCGAGTCAGCCCTGTGTATATTTTTATGACCGCACAGCTCACGCAAACTTCGGTTAGGCGACCGCTCACGTCCGGCTGACATTTAGTCGCACGAGTGTTTTCATGATGGTGTATATCGACTGCCGCCCACCCAAAAGTTGGCCCACAATTATCTGATCGTGCTAGCCCCTGACTGATTGATTTAAACCCAACCTCGTTTCAGGACTGTATTGGCCTGAGTAAAATTGTCGCAGAGGTCCGCATGCTCGATGGTCGTTTGTGGGAACTTTTTTGTTTTTTATCAACTCATCTATTAGAGATGGGAATAAAACAACATGATAGTCATTTCACATCATGGTGGATAGGACTAGATCATGCATTCCAGCCTGGTAGGTCGAACAATCGGCGTCTCTATGACAGCTCGACCATGTCCATGTCCTTAGATGATGACTGGCGTGGAAACTGCCGGACTTTTGTCCCTGCCCACTTAAAACCGAGGGCATGACGGCCAACACGACCGGCGATGTGATCGGGGAAAATTGCTGACAAAGTTGAAGAGACCATCAACAAGCGTCACAATCGGTTATTGCATAATGACGTACCCATTAATCTATTCATAACCGAACTCTTAGGACGTGGGCAATCCTCGCCCTACTTAGCTCCAGGCTCGTCCAAGTAGCCTCATGGTTGTTAAGTCGATTATGTGATTTTGTACAGGACTTATTTACTGAGCGATAGCGGGTCTCCGCATCACGTCCAAAACTACCTCGATGTGGACAGTCCGGAATGACAGAACCTAAACTTAAAGCGTCAATCTAACAGAAACGGTTACAGAGTTTCCGGCTGATGTATCTTACATCTGTCATAACATTAAAAGCGGCTCTATACAGACATGTTGCCTCTCCCGAAGCGGACCAGTTGTTCGGTGAGTTAGCAGCCGTGATGCCTTTAGTCGATCGAGTACGGCCTGTAGGTATCCCTTACGTACACGGACTGAACAACATCGGCAATCGGCCCCTGTGCGCTCCTTTCAAATAAGGCTCGTTCTGTAAATTCTCCTTTTCGCGGCTTTCGATATGAAAACATTGACTTGTGTAGGTTAGCAATCGTCGCAAGCATACAGACATTTGACAAGTATGTGGTGGGTACCCTTGCAAATATTGTACATTTTTGAAGGAAGTTCTCACGAAAAAATGCAAAAAGGAGACTACCGAGTAAGACTGATTAAAAATATGGCGAAAGACAAAGGACAAATCAAGACTATGTTCGCACGTCTAGGAAGATACCAAATGTGGGGGAGATAAATAACACTTAAAAACGAACAACTTTCAAAAATCACAACTCCAAAATGCCTCGCTACTGATTGATATCAAGCTGCAAACAAACAAATGCGCGGGTAGCAGAAGGGAAGGGGGGAGAAGAAAGGATGTTAATCAGTCAAGAAACCGATAGTAGGCCATTCCAATGCTTGTGATGGCCTGCCATGAGGCGAGAGTCCACCACAGCAAAAAGCCTAGGATGCCGTGGCAAGCGTGCCACGCCGGGTATCGCATAGAGTCCAGGATCTCACCAAAGGCTTCCCGTGTCTCTTGTACGGCGGCAAACCAAGGTGCAGAGGAGATGGAGTCCCAATCGTGCTGAGAAAAGAGCGTAAGAACCGAATCTAATGAGTGCTGACGTACGCCGACACCAGAAGACTTCAACCCAGAGGAGGTGTTAAGGCCCAGAGGTAACCAAGGCGTGCCAGTGGTAGTTTTGTATGAGCAGATAAGGCCGACAGTGAGGAGTGCAGGTGCCAGGTACTGTAAGGCGGCAAAGTTGAAGCAGTGGAAGACGCTAGCAACCAGGCGCTGAACTTCGAAATTGGAGATCCGTCCCGGCTCATTGTTCAGCCTGTCAATGCGCGACTGAGCCGTCCCCAGGTAGGCCTAAAGTAATTTTAAGATATAATAAATATGAGACAAGTTCAAGTAAGCAAAGGAAAATATAAGATGAAAGTTGAACTCACTAGCAAAACACTACGGCAATATTTCGAAAGGACCTGGGAGTATGTCTCTCGTGCTCAACGATAACTGTTGCCTGCGAAGTTGATATTGATTTACAGGTAAATGGACTAACATTGGTAGGCTTTGGCAGCGCCATTCTCGCTCATTATTCTTAATAACTACCATTTCTCAATGGCAAGAGTTATTCGACATTTGGAATAAGCTTTGGCGCAGTGGAAAACTATATATTTAGTGTGCCGTACAACTACTGTCGACATGCTACTACTGGCGGTACTCAATATGATTGGTGCGGACAATTTCGCATTCGTCAGAGCACGAATATTCGTCCTCTATTACAGTCGGTCCGTAACCAATATGACTGTGATAGTGCTTGATCTATGACTCCTCACTGATGTCGAGCGTTAAACCCGTACATCGGCCTACCAGTACTCGGTACTCCCATTCTTAGCACGATCCTCACATGTGAAGAAACGGAAATTGAGAAGCTGAAGGCAGACCTGTCTCCATAACAGATGTGGTAACCGTGTCGCTTCTTACTTTGAGTATTTTGTGATCTTTGACCGTTTACTCTTGAGCTTTTTGGACCCCTTAAATTACCTTATTTTTCCTCTCCGTGAATGGGGCCATTTTTTGCTGAAAATTTTGATATTATCATCAAAATATAGTTATCTATCTATCTAATTAATTTGACAAGCTGCAGCAGCGGATCTGGACACCTTAATTCGTTCTTTTATCCAACGACGGGGGCCGAAAACCTAACTATGCAAAACCCGGTTTTACTCGGCGTTCTTTTAGGACTCGATCAAGTCGGCTTCCGAGGTGCAAGTGGACGTGCTTAAGTCGATATAAGAAATGCAGGCCAGCTGCCTTTGTTCAAAGGAAGATTGGAATTGAGCTGCCTTTGTGGCTTCAACAATTGCAAGTGGATGCAATCTACTGTAGCGTTACAATCCGCGAGGCAAATGAAGGAGATTTTATCGGCAAGCTGCCCGGTATTTTTATTGCCGTTAAATTATGTATATGCATAGATTAACATGAAAATACTTGTCTGACCCAACTGCAAGGTTAAGACT